CACCACATGAGATCACCACACTGTTCTGTGCTGGAGAGCATTGGTCTCCTCGGATGCCAGGAAGGAGTCTGGGTTGGTGGCGGTGAGAGAAGACTGGCTGAGTGAGCAGAAGCCCAGGCAGGAAGGCATTTCCCTGGCCGGACGCCCTTGGAGCAGACGACTGCTTTCTCACCTCTGGGTCCACTGTGTCACCCCCCCCCCACCCCCCTTCTCAAGTGCTCCTTCTCATCACAAGCCAACCAGGAGCACAAGGTTCATGCCCAAAGAGGAAACCTGAGGAAAGGCATGGACGTGGGCCAAGGAGAGTGAGGAAGTAAGGGAAAATTCTTTTTTAGAGTCACTAATTCCAGAGAAAAATGAGGGGGCCCTTTATCACCATCCAGGAACTTGGGAGACTTGTTAGACTTCTGACCAAATAATTGGAGACTGAAGGTCGGATGAAAGGAAGGAGGCGGGACGAGAAGGGGCTTGTGAGGTACTGACCCTGGTCGGGGAAGACAACTAAGGAAACTTCTAGTCTTGGGCTTTTTGAGGGTAGTTTTTTCAGTTGTTACTCAATATGACTTAGGGTCTACTAAATTAATCAGTGGAGGGGTGAGAACCATGAACAAGGGGCACTGGATCCTTCTTTCAGGTGCCGAAGGTCACACAGAAGGTCATGTCCTGCCTCCCTGGCAGCCTCCTTGTCCCCATCCAGAGTTAGCTATCTGGCCGGCACAGGCAGGTGTAGCTCTTGCTCAAGCCGGACGTGGGCCCCAGGGGGAGTTTGTGAGAGGAGGAGATGTGTTGGGGATTGGATGCGAGTGGGAGGCAGTGCCTAGGAGGCAGGAAAGCCATCTAGTGGAGTTTCCTTCCTCCCTGAGGTCCCTGCGTGTGCCAACTACCTCCATGGCTCACACACACACACACACACACACATCTAGAAAGCTGACCGACCGCCAGCCTTCTAGTATGTCACCACATCTCCACAGGAGCCTCCCCCATGACTCAAAGGCCTGTCATGTGGCCAAGCTGAGCAACCCAGGATGTCCCTGGAGCGCGGATGGTCTTGTTGGGGAAAGCTCCTGACTCACTGCATGTGTTCCAGTCCAATTGGCCAGGCCTGTGAAGTGTTTCCATAGACAACTTGGTCCCCACTGGAAACCTGACCTCTCAGATGCTCAGCTCAGGCTCCTTTGAAGAGCCTGTGAGGACCATCTCTCAGCACCCTGACCCACAATTCTTTTTTTTTTAAAAGAGTATCTATAGACCAGTAACCCCCTGGGAGGAACACAGGAAGGGTGTCTGTTGTCACCTTGTAGAGTGACCTGGAACTGTATACAAGAAGCAGTGAAAGAATGATTCAAAGCTGGGTGGTGATGGTGCATGCCTTTAATCCCAGCACTTGGGAGGCAGACCTAGGCCGATCTCTTTGAGTTCGAGGCCAACCTGTTCTACAGAGAGAGATCCAAGACAGGCACCAAAGCTACACAGAGAAACCCTGTCTCAAAAAAAAAAAAAACTTAATTTAAGCCGGGTGTTGATGGCGCACGCCTTTAATCCCAGCACTTGGGAGGCAGAGCCAGGTGGAGCTCTGTGATCTGTGAGTTTGAGGCCAGCCTGGACTACCAAGTGAGTTCCAGGAAAGGCGCAAAGCTACACAGAGAAACGCTGTCTCGGAAAACCAGAAAAAAAAAAAAAAAAGAATGATTCAAACCCTGTCCCCGAGGGAATGGGAGCAGAGACTTGGGTATTCCAGGCCCATGTCCAAGGGTTCCTGAGTCACTGGTAACCTCAGATAAGTTCTGGAACCCCTGGGCTCTCCTTCTTCCAAATGGGGAGATGATCCACAGCTCCCAGTGAAGAGGGCAGACTGGGCGCTGGATGCTTACTGTGTACCTCACCTCATCAGAACCTCCTAGACTGTGAGGCAAGATTACTGTTGTCCCTATTGGATAAAGGAAGACGCTGAAGTGAGGAGGACTGAGTAACCGTCTAGTCAGGGATAAGCTTCGCCACAGCCTGGCAAAGTCCTTCCTTTCAGTGGTTGGGAAGTGACGCCGTAGTCGGGCAGCCTGGCCCCACAGTGGCTCTCAGGCCCCCAGGCTTCCTGGAGACTGGTCCTCTCACACAGCGCCTGTGCCACAGTGGCAGCTGGGTGCCTGGAGACGCCTTCTCCTTCTGCTCACCCTGAGCCAGCCGCCAGCCTGTGCCTCTGCATTGCGCGCCTGCCCAAGCCCGCACGTCCTCTTTGCCCTTCAGAACATCCGTCGTTCCGTCTGTCTGTCCAGGGCCGCTCCTGCCTCAGGCACAGGAAGGGCCTTGAGCCGGTTCTGAGGCTCCCGCAGGGTCCTGTAGCTGGGGCATGGGCAGGACGGGACTGTGTCCACCAACGGAGGGGTCTGTGCAAGGCCAGGTCCTCCTAGGGCCACGCATGATCCAACGCCACTGGACAGGGATTCTGAGGACTCAGTGAGGCACGGCTGGTGTTGGATGAGGTGGGTCATCTACTCACTCACTCAGTTGTCCACTCACTCATTCATTCACTCAGTTGTCCACTCACTCACTCACTCACTCACTCACTCACTCACTCACATTATTAACTCATTCATTCACTCACTCACTCATGTAGTCTTCACTCACTCCTTCATTTACTCACTCCTCATTTAGTCTTCACTCATCATTTATTCACTCTCTCAGTCACTCACTCACTCATTCATTCACTCACTCCCCATTTAGTCTGCACTCACTCATTTAGTCTTCACTCATTCATTCATCCCCTCACTCCCTCCTCATTTACTCTGCACTCACTCCTTCCTCATTCACTCACTCATTCATTTGTTCATACACTCACTCATCGGTTCAGCCATGTTTTTCCGCCATGTTGAGGATCTGTGTTCGCTGCGTAGACACAGTACTGAGTGTACTTGTGAGCTCAGAGACCAGGGCACCGGCCAGGGACAGGAAGCAGGAAGTGAGTGGCCCTTACAGTAATAGACAGGAGGACTGAAGGACACCTACATTTTGGAGGCAAGGATGTCCCCTAAGGAGATCTTGAGGTGAGGTCTAGCCTGAGACCCAACGCATGCGTAAAGGGGCTTCTGGGAGGCTGAGGACAGGACACAGGGATGTCCCAAGTGGGCAGTGGCGTGAGAGCAAGTCACCAGTCAGCATTCTGCTACTGTGTTCTCCGTGCCACCCTAGGCTCTCACCTTTGACCTTTTTGTTTTCTAAGCACTTGGGATCTGGGCTCACCCCCAGGGCACTCAGCTCCCGTTTCCTCTCCAGTGGGCAGCCCCGGGGTGTGTGTGGGGGGGTGTGGGCACCGCGGCAGCTGCTCTGCCCACTGCCCTGCCGTCTCCGTGGCTCATTCCCTTGGGCGGTAACTGGAGAAGAGGTGGCAGGTGAGCTGTGAGGAACATCCTGGCACTGGGTCTGTCTGTCCTGGAGACCACGGAGAGCAAGCCTTTGTCCTGGTGGCCTGTAATGAGTTTCAGGAGAGAGCTTCAATATTTGATGCAAACAGAGACGACAAAGGATGTGAAGGACCATTATGAGCTGACTAAAGAGGAGCTAATCCTCCTGGTTGGGAGGGATTCAAGTGCCTGGAGGGCCCGGGGTGGGGGGTGTTGCCGTGTACCAGCAATTGTGAGAGAGAATGGTGCGGGAGGGAGACAGTCCCTCCACAGAGAGAGGCAGTGAGAGACACTCCCTGGAAGGCAGCGGACGGTGACAAGGGATGGCACCTGTCTCACAAGCCCAGAGACAAGGGGCGACACTCCCTGCACCCCCATGTCCCCGGACTCCGTGCCTGGAACAGCAGCTCTCTCCATGCAATCTGGATTGCCTCGTGGGCTGCCCTTTGCTGGGGTCACTTGGGGCTGGATATGCAAATGAGAGTGAAGGTCAACCGGGCCTCTTGGGCCTCTGCCCTCTGCCTCCCTCCAGCTCTTTCTGTGTCCTCATCTCCTTCGGATCTGGGCACGGAGAAATGGCAAACAGCTGTGCTCGTATGCAGCTAGCATAGAGAGGTTGTATTGCAGGGGGCTGTTCTCAGTTCCCCGCTCCTCAGATCTGCCCAGCGATCTCATCTGACACAAAAGTGTTCCGTTCAGTCACCAGGACTGAGTCTCTGCTGGAGGTAGTTGGTAGAGGGGTTTCCCCAAGTCCCTTCCAAGGGTGGGTTCCCGTGGGAGAGGAGCCAACCAAAGGAAGACTTGGAGACCTCAACTCTTCAAGCTTTTCTTTGCATTAGCTTTGTGGGCTCCTGCTGGAACTGCCTCATCTCTAGACTCCCCCAGGGCTTCAAATTTTGGGGGTTGTAAATACAGAACTGTGGCTGGTTTGCATAAATTTGCATAATACTGTATAATTTGCTTGGGTAGGATTATTCTGTTTTATAGAAAATTTCCAATTCAATGTTTTCCTTCCTAAGAGTTCCTCTTTGTTGTAATTTTCTTTGGATTTAAGACATTTTAGTTTATTTTTTATAAGACAAGGTCTTGTCTCAGGCTGGCTGTGAACTCACCGTGCCTCAGTCTCCCAAGTGCTGGAATTACAGGGATGTACCACCCTGTCAGATTTCTTCTGATTCTGGTTAGTGTCCTAAAATGAGGACAGTAGAGATGTGATGAAGGAAACCAGAAGAGAAGGCTTGTAGATGTCTGAGTTGGGGAAGGGCAATGTCTAGGGCCTTGGCCAGGTCTTAGAACTCCCTCTGGTCCTAGGATGCTCAAGAATCCTGAGGCATGGAGGGTGTTCTCGGGACACCTTCCTTTTCCAGAGCAGCCACAGAACAGAACCCTAAGAGCTGGACTCTCAGGCCGCACTGTGGCAGAGGTGGATCTACATCTCGGATCCAGACCCCTTCAGGGAGCAGGGGTTGGCTTTAAGTGCACCCTTCAAACCACCCCACTGACCCTGGCAGCAGAGGATGCTCTCCCGAGACAGCGGGGTGGGAAGAACTCTGGCCCCTCTCACAGGGAAGGGCTGGAAATTGATCTGTTTTTTTCTACTTACAGCCAAGGATCATTGTATGGAAGATAAATGAGGTCTGTTTCTGTGGAAGAGAAACACCTGCTACAAAGTCCTGCCAGCTGAAGGACTTGTCCCGCCCCCTCTCGGCTTCCTCTCCGATTTCATGAGAGCATCTCAAAGCTCTTCCCATCCTTGTTTTCCAGGTCTTTTTAAAAACTCACATTGTCGTTCCTATTATTTGTAACTTCCATGCTATTTAATCGGTTATTAGTTATAATACCCCACCAAAGCAATAGCATCCTCCTAAAATGTACATCAGGCCACATTGCTCCCTTGTCTGGAGAGCGTCCTTTCCCAGTGTGCCAGGCCCTGTGTGGCATGGGTGCATCCTTCCTCCTCCCCCCTCCCCTGTCCTCACCTTCTGCTCCTATCCTCGGGGCGCCTTCTGCTTGCCTGGGGGCCTCCCCAACCACTTCACATCTCAGTTCCTGTGCTCTTGTTTGCTCTTTCTCCAGGAAATCTTGAAGGCCAGTGTCTCCTCACTGGCTCAGGGCTTGGCAATGATATCCCTGCTCCCAGAATCCTCCTTTAGCTCCCAACCTAGGTAGGATCCCCGGTTATACAGTAACAACTGTCTTATTTATGTGGTGACCTATCTATTCGGCTTTCCATCTGGCCAGAGACTTCTGGTGCTTTGTTCATGGGTGTCTCCAGTCTCTGGCACAGAACATAAGCATGTAGGAGATGCTCAAATATATGTACACGCACACATACATGCATTTTAAAGCATTTATTTTATTATTTTTAATTAGGTGTGTGTGTGTGGGGGGATGCAGAGCCTGTGAAGGTTGGAGGTGTTGGATCCCCTGGAGTTGGAGTTACAGGCAGTTGTGAGCTACCCAGTGTGGGTGCTGGGAACCTAACGTAAGTCCTCTGAAAGAGCAGTAAGTACACCTAACTGCTGAGCCATCTCTCCAACACACACACACACACACACACACACACTCCTTTTTGAGACAGTATCTTGTTATTTAGCTGGCCTTGAATTATGACCCCCTGCCTCATCCTTCCAAGGCTGAAATTATTGGTATGCTTGTTGAATGAATGAGAAAGTGTGACTGAGTTGGGATAGGTGACAGATGACAGATTTTGCAGTCTGAGAGCTACAGCATTGGCTCTGTCACTCACTGATGGACAGTCATTGGCAAGTTACTCACCTCTCTCAGCCTCTGTCCCTCCCTTGACAGGGACAGCAATAACTTCCGTATCAAAAATTAATTCCAGCACCGTGCTTGTGTCTGCCAGCATCTGGCACAGGTAGGAGCCCATCAAACGGTAGTCATTAATGTAATAAGCACACGGTACGTCATCCTTACTGTACCAGGCTCTGTTCTGCCCCAGATATTACCCAGTTTATTGAGTGATACAGAGATCTGCAAGCCATGAAGAAATCATGGTGAGTATAGATAACCAAATTCAACAAGAGCAAAGTGGTCGAACCTATCCCCTGAATGAGCACTTTACAGTTTACAGACCGTTCGCACCTAGCTCACTTCATCACCTCCTGAGCTGCTGGGGCCCGGCAGGACTGGCCTCGGTGCCTCTGTTTTACCACAGGAGAGCAGGAGCTGAGGAGGTGGCCCAGGGTGACACTTCTCCCTTGTTCTGCCTGACTCCTCTCCCCTAGCACGCCATCGCCGCCATGCGGGGGTCCTAGGTGGTTTCAGGAACACTAGCTCCCGGGCACTCTGCTCTGTGCACGCTTCCCGCTCCAGCTCGTACATGCCAAATCCTGTTACTCTACGGAGAAAAGCAAATGAGGGGAAGAGAGGTTGCGGAGGCGGGCTTCGAACCTCTCAATCAGGAGGCCCATTAGCCGAGGAGGGGCTCGGTCCTCGGAGTTCAGCCCTGCCACACACTAGCTGTGCAACTCCGGGGAGTTAATTAGCTTCTCCGTGCCACACTTGGCCCACCTGCGCATCGGAACGATGATCCACCTAGTTTGGGGCGCTGTTGTGAGGCCTGCTCAGAACAGCACCTGGTGCACACAGTAAGCTCCAGCACACATTTGATCCCCAAATTAATACCTCAGTCCCAAACCTAGTGTTCTTTTCCCAACACCTAAGTGTAAAAGTTCATGGATTCTCAATCGCCAGCATGTTCATAATATTATATATATCTATATATGTATGTAGAATGTATATAAGAATATGTATTTATGAGTATATATATACACACACATATATATATAAATAAAATCTTTATAGAGCCTTGTGAAATCAGCAAGAAGTAGTTGCCACCCTTTCACAGACCAGAAAACCGAAACTGGGAACGAAGAGTCTATTCAAGGTCACGCAGGTGTGATTTAGGAGGTGGCTGCTTTGCTCATGACTCGGTAGGTCGGTCCCTGCTCACATCTACTCTGTAATAGAATATACTTCAACCTTTTCCAGATGTGCAAATGCATTTGATTTCCTCTGATCATGTCCTATCAATACAGGCAAGACCAAGGCTCCTGGCCATTTCGCATCGAGGAAAACTGCAGAATCCAGAGGGTCCACCTGGAGTTTTCCGGCAGTCAGCCTCTCAATAAGCAGACATTTCCATGAGCGGCTGTTGTGGACCCAGGGCTGTGCCCGGAATCGTGGGGAGAGGGGAGATCATGAGAATTTTCTGCACAGGATCTAGGGTCTAGGTTAGAAGAGGGGGCTGCACCTTCTCGGGACTCGGATTCTCGGGTTTGTGGCTCAAGATTCTGGGAAGCTGTGAGTATGAATCATGCTTTAATTTCAAGTTTTCATTTGCTTGCCAGAGGATTCAAATCCCAGAGTTATCCAGGAAAGAAGGTGTGGAGCTAGGGAAAGAATCCATGAACGTGTTCATCTGTTTCCTCATTCATTCATTCATTCATTCATTCATTCATTCATTCATTCATTCATTCAACCTTCTTTTACTGTGCCCTTCATGGACAGTGGAGATCCCCAAGCTTATGGCTGAAGTCACAAACATTTTTATTTTTCCATTAGAGAGTGTTAGTTTCTGTAATCAAACCCAAATAGCTAAGACACATAATATAAACACAATATATTACCCTTCACTCATAGACTTAAAACAAGTGCCCCCACCAAATCCAGGTGTGGGGGTGTATGTCTTTAATCCTAGCACTTCAGCACTTGTGGGGGGCGGGGAGCAGAGGGAGGCAGATCTCTGTGAGTTTGAGACTAGCCTGGTCTACAGAGTGAGTTCTAGGATAGCCAGGGCTACACAGAGAGACACTGTCTCAACAAAGCCAAACAGCACCAAATTAAATGCCCCCATAACTTTATCACAAACATTTGTTGAGCACCTACTATGTGCTGGGCATGCAACACACAGGATAAGCTTAGGGTGTGGTGTAGGTTTTGAAATTGGGTTATTTGAGTCATGAAAAGGTCTGTGCACTCACACCCACCCATGATACACAGCTTCATGATAAAATGACCTCACCACCAGCTGGAGTGATACAGCATTTCCACTCGGCCTAATCACCTCGCACGCCTCTCCAGTCCCATTGCCCTGCTCCCCCTTCTCCTGACTCCCACTGACACTTGGGGTGCACAGCCCCCTTAATTTGGCGTTTAGAGTTTTGCTTTGTCACATATGTTTTTGACCCACACAGAAAAGACCCCACTTATTTTTGCTTGGCCTGGACTTGACCACAGCACCCTGCATTGTATCTTCTTCCTCAGCCTGCTCTCCTCCCCACGCTCTGAGGGGCGCCTCGTCCACGCCTGTGAGGATCCTCTCCTCACTCCCTCAGCATGGAATTCCACTGGGAACTAGATCACACTTTGTTTATCTGGTTTTCTCCTGAAGGTTATCTAGTTTATTTCCATTTTTTTTTTTTCTTTTTCTGTTACAAACAATGCCTCCTCTTGATCCGGTCCTTTGATGTACCCAGCAGGAGTGTTAGGTGTACAGGGTGGAACTGCAGAGCTTTTGGGCCCATTTTGTTTAATACAAACTAAAAGTAGTTGTACCTGTTTGATAAGTAAAATATCCCCCGGTAGTGGGTAACTCCGTTGACACAACAAATCAGATCAGGCCAAATCAAACCGAATTAAAGTCCAGGTTTTAATCTGAGGAAAGCATTCCTCGAATGGTCCTGCAATGGTCCGGGGGTGGTGGCGGGAGAGAAACCACAAGGCCAGTCTACGGGCTGGGTCTTAAATATTTGTAGGCGTGGTCTTGAGCATCTCAAGGGGAGGAGCCGCCACTTGGCGGGCTTTCTCAGTGGCGGGGTCTGGAGAGAGGTGGGGCCAAGGTGGAACTTCCACCTAAACACTGTTGCCTTGTAAAACTGAAGGAGCAGCTGCTGAGAGCGGGCTCAGCAGTCAAGAGCACTTGGTGCTCTTGCAGAGGACCGAGGTTCAGCTCACAGCACCCACGTGGCGGTTCACAGCCATTCGTAACTCTAGTTCCAGGCTCTCTGGCCCCTCCCTCTTCTGCTTCACGGCATTAGGCACACATGTGGTGCCTGGACAAACACACAGGCAAAATACTCCCACACGTAAAGCAAACAAATCTTTAAAAACCGAAACAAAACAGGCCGGGCAGTAGTGGTGCACACTTTAATCCCAGCTCTCGGGAGACAGAGGCCTCTGTGACTTCGGGGCCAGCCTGGTCTACAAAGTGAGTTTCAGGACAGCCAGAGTTGGTACACAGAAACACCCTGTCTTGAAAACCAAACACAACAAAACAAAAATTAAACAAAACCAAACGGAAGGAAATCCTTTTGAAGGGCCCTTTGGGCTCAGGTTAGGGGGCTCTATTGACTAACTAGAACGTCCAGAGACTGACCTTGGGAGATATCTAAGCATATCATTTACATGGTAATTCACAGAGCACGGCACACTTTTGATAGTTTATCTCAGAGCTGAGCCTCTGAGCTTGGAAACACAGGCTGTTATTGACTGACCCTTCGGAGAAACTTGACTTCTGGCCCGGCACAGGAGAACCAAGAAAGACCGAGGCGATCTTGCCTCACTGGAAGCTTGGCATTTGTGCCATGCCATGTGGGCTTGGAGAGATTTATTCTCGTGCCCTTCTATTTAGAACTCAGTTCATCAGCCTTGGCATCAAGGCCATGGCTAAGTCTCAGTGGAGCCCGATCTCTCCTCTCTCTAGCTCTTTTTCCTCCTCTCTCCCACCAATGGTTATCATCCTTCCTTTTAATTGTTGGCTGAGTAATACCTTCAAAGAGGTGGAAATTCAAAATGAAGGACGGTACTTTGGAAAGACTCAATCCTACTTGCCCAGAGTCTCCTATGAAAGGTAACTCACCTGCCCTCCTAGAATTCTCTTTATGTAAAAGTTACTATGCAAAGTTTCTAAGATAGACTAGATAAGGTATTATTATTATTATTTTTGGTTTTTCGAGACAGGGTTTCTCTGTGTAGCTTTGCGCCTTTCCTGGAACTCACTTGGGAGACCAGGCTGGCCTCGAACTCACAGAGATCCGCCTGCCTCTGCCTCCCGAGTGCTGGGATTAAAGGCGTGTGCCACCACCGCCCGGCAAGGTATTATTATATACGGGTTTCTGACATGGAATTTTCAAGTATCAATGCACCATGAGTTAAGAATAGTTGTGTAAACAGCTGTGATTGCATTCACAAGATCAAGCCAGCCTACATCCCATGGAGGATGGGGTGGGGCAGGAATCATGGAATCCCATCAACATTGGCGGTTGGTGACTGCTGGGGGAGGGGTGGCGTCAGTTCTCTCCAGGGATGCATTGACTGGGAGGCTGCCGCGCTCCAGGAGATGCTTCCACACAGGCAGCACTAGAAGGACTCAAAGGGTTCTAAAAAGAAAGCGCATCAAGTTGGGAGAGGAAAATGGCAGGGGTGAGACACAGGGGGTGTGGGAGGGGAGGGAATGGGGGGTGGGCTTGATCAAAACCTGTGGAATTCTCAAACAAAACAGAAACGGTGAAAAAAAAGTAATGAGTTTTTCTTAATCAAATGTATGTATTTATTTAAAAAATAGCTACGTAATAGTCCATTGTCTCTCATTAATATTCATTTATCCCCTACTGTCCACCTATCTATCAAGCTGAGTGCTAAGGGAAGGGCTTAAAATGATGAATCAAAATATGCCTTCCCTGGGGACCGGGAGCCCGAGGCAGAAGAAGAATATCAAGTTCAGGGCTATGTATCAATAACAACAACAAAAGACAAAACTCACACACACACACACACACACACACACACACAAACCCCAAAACAACGAAAAGTACCTCTTCCCCCCAACAAAACCAGAAGTAGGCCCTGCCTTCAAGGAGACCACAGAGGAAGCGTGGCCAACGACAGCAGGCGCTGTTCACTCCGGAGCTGCTTCTGGAGTGCCAAAGGGTCTTCGGCACTGCTCTGGACCATCGGAGGACGAGGGCAGGAAGAGCCCTGAAGTGCCCGGCTGTGGCTCTCTGGCCCCAGCAGAGCTGATAGTGGCCATTGCGACCAGAGAGGACAGGGAGGCTGCTAGGGCCTCTGCCGCCGGACTTGGACCATAGACAAGGCTGCGTGTGTGTGTGTGTGTGTGTGTGTGTGTGTGTGTGTGTGTGTGTGTGTGCTAGAGCCAGGTGTCTGACTGCAGGTAGAGCTGGAGAAGCTGCCTGTGGCTGAGGGCTAGCCAGGCCACCGACGGGGCAGAGGTGGGAGAACTTTGCCATGTGGAGCAAAGGGAAGGAAAAACGGGCATTTTCCCAAGTCCCCTCGGGGCAGTCTGGGGCCTATCGTCCAAGCCTCGTTTGTTTGATGATAAGATTTGCCTGTGTTTTTTCCCCAGGCCCCAAGGGTATATGGCACAGGAGTCCTGGCCTGAGAACTCTCACCTTTCAGCAGCCCAGGCGGGCTCCTTTGAGCAGGGTCAATAGGATCAGTAGGAGAAAGACTCAGGTCTCTCTGTGAAGGGATGGTTATGAAGAGGACCTGGGATGTGCTACCACAAACCCCTACCTGGTCCTCCAGTGGGTGCCACTGTGGTGGGCCAAAGTCCCTGTGCCTGCTGGCATGGGTACTAAGGGCCAGTCTTGAACTCAGAGTCACGGTGGGCTGTGGCGGCTCACAGGGAGCCCTCCTTTTGGATCGCCTTAGTTCACTGTGGCCTGAGGCTGGGTCAGCACATCTCCCAGTTGCAATGGGAGAGTGTGAGTCTCCAGGCCCACAGGTCCCCGCTCCCGTTTGGAATATTTAGTCCATGCTCTGACTCTCTACAAGATGCGTGCCATGGACTCTGTAAGGCTGTAGTGGAGCCTTGCCTTCAAGCTGCAGTGTGTCCAGCAGGGCCGGGCCAGCACTCTGTCATTCCAGCTGAAAGCCCATGGCGTTCTCAGGACCAGTTCACGGGTGGGTGACCCGTCCTCAGGAGGACTCACCCTAATGTCGGGTGCTGTTGCTGCGTGCTGAAATTCTTAACTTTTGAACAAGCTTGCTTCATTACAGGGCCTTGGAAATGAGGCAGTTTTTGTTGTCTGCGCTCTACCCTGATGCCTTTTTTGTTTGTTTGTTTGTTTTCGAGACAGGGTTTCTCTGTGTAGCTTTGCGCCTTTCCTGGAACTCACTTGGTAGCCCAGGCTGGCCTCAATCTCACAGAGATCCGCCTGACTCTGCCTCCTGACTGCTGGGATTAAAGGCGTGCGCTGTTGCTGCTGCTGCTGCTGCTGCTGCCGCCGCCGCCGCCGCCACCACCACCACCACCTGGCACTCTGATGCCTTTTGTCGTTGTTTTTTGAGACAGGATTTCTCTGTAACCCTGGCCGTCCAGGAACTCACTCTGGGCCTTGAACTGAGATCAGCCTGACTCTGCCTCCCGCATGCTGGGATTAAAGGCGTGCGCCACCACCGCCCGGCTATTTTTATTTTTTTTTTTAATTTTTTTTATTTTTTATTTTTTTTGGTTTTTCGAGACAGGGTTTCTCTGTGTAGCTTTGCGCCTTTCCTGGAACTCACTTGGTAGCCCAGGCTGGCCTCGAACTCACAGAGATCCGCCTGCCTCTGCCTCCCGAGTGCTGGGATTAAAGGCGTGCGCCACCACCGCCCGGCTATTTTTTTTTTTTTTTTTTTAAGTTGAATCGTGAACACTATAGTTTCTCCTTATCCAAGGAAGCACTCCTGGACCCACCACAGATGCCTAAAGTCACAATCCACACATGCCTATGATCAAGTTTAATGAATAAATTAGGTACAGCAAGAGATGAACAACACTTGATAATAAAATAAATGATCATGAGTCTGTACAATAATAAAAATGATGGAGATGTATATTTCAAAAATATTGTACTATTCTCAGCCTTCTCCCTTTGTGGTGATATGGGATGATACCACATCTGTGTGATGAGATAAAGTGCGGTGAGTGACCTGGGCATTGTGACAAGGCTCTAGGCTCCTATTAATAGAGGCATTGGAAATGACGAACGCTGATATGATAGCTGAGACAGCTCCAGTGACTGGTGGGTGGGTAGCATATACACTGTGGACACACTGAATAGAGGGATGACTGTCCTGGGTAGGACGGCACAGGCATTCATCACACTACTCCAAAGGACATGTGATGTGAACGTTGTGAGTTGTTTATTGCTGAAATTTGCTGTTTAATATTTTCGGTTCACAGTTGGCCGTGGGTAACTCAGACTGCCACCACAGACCGAGAAGGACTATTATTGCTCTACAAAGGATGAAAACAAAGGAGGCGCTTATTAATTGTTTGTACATTTAGATACGGTCCATACGTTCATTGTGATGCTAATGTTGATGCACACCCACACACCACACATCCCTTCACAGTCTGACTCCCAGGAGAGCCGTGTGTGTGTGTGTGTGTGTGTGTGTGTGTGTGTGTGTGTGTGTGTGTGAGAAAGAGAGAGAGAGAGAGAGAGAGAGAGAGAGAGAGAGAGAGAGAGAGAGAGAGCAGTGCATAGCGTTCACCTCTGAAGGACCCAGACGGTGGTCTGTTAGGGGTGCACTCTGTTCCTGTGGCTGCTGCCCATGGTGGTTTGCTTTCTACTTCAGAGCTAGGCTGGGGGCAGACGGGGTCCTCAAGTCCCTTGGTTAGTGCCTTCATCACTTGCCCCTCAGAGAATCTTTCCAGTCAGGTGCTTCTTCCTACAGGTTCAGATTAACACCTCAGATCTGCTTTAGGACTCAGGAAAGGAGACTCCTGTGGAGGCAGGGAATGTCTGCAGTAGGCATGAGGCATGAACCTGACCATGGAAGACCCTGAAAGTTCATCCTGTCCATCTCCTTCAGACTGGGCCACCCTATCTGTGCTGCTGAAGCCAGGAGGGGGAAAAAAAAAAAGGTTGTATCCTGGAAACGTGGGCCACAGAATCCGTATGCTCTCCAGATACGTCGCTCTGGGACTTGTCTCTGGTTTTGCTTTGTCGCCTGAATCAAGGATCCTGAAGTTTTTACCCAGGACACTTGAATTCTTACCCAACAACCCCGGAGCCTGGAAGCAAGCCTCAACTGCCTACTTGACAGAAACAACCAGCTTTTCAAGTATCCTCAGAACAAAGGCCACAGCCTTGGAAGCAGAGGACATGTCTGCCCCCTGGTGGTCAGTCACCAAATCTTCACGGTGCCCTCTGGAGCCAGGGTTTCCTTGGACAGCAACTTTGAGTCCTCAGGTAGACTCTTCATATGGAATATAGCAAGCTGTCCGTCGCCCCAGGGCTTGGCCTCGCTGCTCCCTCTCCTGACATGCTCTTCCTGTAGCCGTGAGCCCAACTGTCACCTCCACAGGAAAGCCCCCTTGCACCCCTTTGTCTACAACAGCACCTCATCGCCGTCATCTGTTCTGCTCCGTGCCTGCTGCCTCTCTTTCTCCAGCTGTCCTTTGGGAGATAAGGACATGTGTTACCCGTGTCCTCAGTGCCATGTACAGAGAAGGCATCAAAAACACCTGCTGAAGGAGTCAACGTGTGTGCCCGCAGCAGCAAGTGGGACTTGGATGCATCGTCTGGTCCTCAAACCACAGTGGAATATGGGGGACTGTGGGACCGCTGATCTGGCAGATGGGCACACTGAGGCCTGGTCAGTTATGGGAGCTGTTTGAGCACCTGGGAAGCAGGAACAACATCTTTCATCTTGCTTCCTCACTTCTCCCTGGAAGAAGCCGCAGGAGGTCTCAGGCCTGTTGGCTTCTGCCCGTCAGGAGTGAGTGGTCCATGTCCTGGCTCCTCGGCCTGGCTGCTGACGGAAGCAGAGCCACACGGTCATCGTCCTCCGAAGCTATAGGTCCGCAGGGCTCAAGGGAGCAGCCTGTCTGCAGAGATGAGCAGGACTGTGTCAGGGGAGGGGAGGCAGAAGAGCGTAAGCCATCCAGACTCCTGTGACGCCTTCTCTGAGGCCAGGATTTGCCGGTGACATTCTTTCCTGCTGCAGTGCCTCAGCCTCCCGGCTTGGCAGGGGAATGCTGGGGACTGGTGGGGTTGAGCTTGGAGTGAGTGGCCTGCACACAGCTGCAGGTAGGAGTCTGAAGGACGAGTCCAGGAGTCAGCAGCACCTGCTCTTTGGCTGGCCTGGCGAGAGCTTGATAGAGTCCACAAGGTGATTCTCTACGGTGCCTTGGTACTGGGGAGGAAAGAGGAGTCAGTATTCACAGCCTGTGGTCTAAAGAGCCCTGATACTTGGCTTCTCAATGGGCTTGGGAGCTGGGAATTCCGTCTTCCTTCTGTGATATTGTTGGGAAACTGAGGACCAGAGGGGAAGCCCGTACCTTCCCACCTTCGCCCTTCCCTCTCTCTGTCCTGCCTCTTCCCAGGAGTCCAGAGTATTCAGTGGAAGGATTATAGGATCTCAGGTGCCTGGCTTCCAGTCAGGTCTCATAATTTCCCATTCCCCAGAAGGAACAATTGAGGTGAGTGACATTTGGGCTTGGGTAGAGATAGACAGCTGGCCCCTCATCTCTGATGGATACTCGTCCCCACAAACATTTCCATACCCCCAATATTCTTTGTGCCTGGGCCCTTCCTGTCTCTTATGGCACCTGGAGGAGCCCAGCTGGCCTCCGTCCCCATCCCAGCTGTAGGGAGACTTGCCCTACCAGTTCAGTGTGTCCATGCCACTTTTCTCCCTCTTTGGCAACTATCCAAACCCCTGTCCCAACAAACACCCGGAGAAGGCCCCTGCCCACCTAACAAGCCCCTTGGTGCCCACCCAGCTCTCTCCCTCCCATCCCTTGGTTCCAGGGAAGGCCAGGAGTTCCTCAAGGGCATGGCTTTCTTTTTCTCTCTTTTAAAGACAGGGTCTCCCTATGGTTGGAAATCACAATCCTCCTTCCTCTGCCGTGGCTCTAAGGCCACGGGTCGCAGAGACAGGAACGCAGCTGTTGCTGCTTCTGGATTTATTTTTATTTTTTTAATTATGTGTAGTGGTGTGAGCTTACATATGGACATGTGCATTCTCAAAGGGGGCAGAGGTCAAGTGTCAGACCCTCTGGAGCTAGAGTTGTGGACGCTTGTGATCCACCTGACGTGGGTACTAGGAACGAAACTGGGGTCCTCGGGGAGAGCAGACGTGCTGTTGACCACTCCTGCTTCACTCTTTTTCCCTCTGGAGCCTGAGTGCTGTGAGGCCCCATCCTGAACCCCCACGTGACAGCTGGGGAAGTGTTGACAGGATGGAACGTTTTTCATCTTATGCGTGGGGGAACAGGCTCAGGTCAGCCATATGTTTTGACAGGTATGTACATAAAGCTGCTGGCACAGGACTTTATCCAGGTCAGTCCGAGTGCACACACCGTGTCTGTGACCTCCAGGCCCCGGCTCAGACTCCTGCACAAGTATCAGGAACTGTGGTGAGTTGTCTAGCTCTCCTTTTGCAGAGAAAGGATGTTCGCAAGAACAAGCATCGCTAACGGCCTCACACGACGAAAGTGACATCATAGGAAGGATATACTTTAACTCCAATTTAATGGGAAGGAAAGGACACTCTCTCCCCTGAACGGACAGATGACAGCCACATATATACACTGGCCGTAGGCTGGGGAAGATTCCTTGTGACTGAGTGTCTGGCAATAATTGCGCCACATTATCTTGATAAGTTGTGATAAGCCGTCCTGGCTAATGGTCCAGGCATGCTCACCTGCTGCATATTCGGAGCCTGCTTTCCTGACTGTGGCAAAGCTACGCTCACCAACCATACACTGAGTACTCTCTGCTGTTCTTCCTCAGGAGGCAGTGATGGCTGGAGGCTGACCTGAGGTCCAGCCTGGGCCTTGTGAACGGAGAAAGCTCTTAACTTTTCTTGCGCAGCTGCTGGAGGCAAATGCTGCCTGTCCCTACCAACGGCATCTTGGGACCTTCCCTTCAGGACAACATGGGTCATGCAAGTCAGTCAGTCACCTACAACGAGGTCGGCGATGGCAGCCATTTCCACCTCGGGGATGCCTCCAATCTCCTAACCATTCCTTGTTCATTTCCTCCACTTAAAATCGTTGCTCTGGCAATAATTTCTTTTTGTTTGTTTGAGACAGGGTCTCTCTATGTAGCCCTGACTGTCCTGGAACTCACTGTGCGGACCAGGCTGGCCTTGAACTCACAGAGATCTGACTGCATCTGCTTCCCGAGTACCGGGATTAAAGTGTGTGACACTACGCCTGTCCCCCTCTCTTAACTCAAGGTGGCAGGACAAGGTCGCCAGATGAACTCCACATTGCAACACTAAAGTTCTGCCATTAGCCGGGCATAGTGGCACACACTTGTGACCCCAAACACTGTAGAAGTGGAGGCAGGGGACTGTGAATTAGAGCTTAGTCTGGACTGCAGAGTGAGACCATGTCTCAAAGAAACAAAATCAAAACATACAGAAGCAAAGCCCACAATTGTGCCTAGGTGGCCTTCAGTGGCCGCTCCCGTCACGTGGGCTGTCACTGGGCCCCTTCCCTGGACTCCATCACCAAGTCTGCTCCAACCATGCAGAATTGTGTTGCAGTCACTCATGTTCCTCGTCTTCCTCTTGAGTCTGAGAATCCCCAGACCCCCTCACAGTGTCTGGGACACACGCCACACTCAACACAAGCTGCTGACGTTATCACATCGCAGCGCCTGGGTCTGTTTATCTTTCCGATTGGAAGCTGTCAGCAGCTCCTATAGGCTGGAGATCCCACTTGACTTAATGCAAGCTTGGTTGGCTCCACCAGACTTCTGTCCCACAGTGAGGACTGGCTTAGAGACCACTTCTCAAATCCTCACTGAATTCGAATCTCCAGGCACCAGGCACAGGACTGACCTTTTAAATACTGCACAGGGGATTGGGATAGCTGGCCATATTTGGATACCAACCGCTTGCTCCCAGGTACTTGATGCCTCTGGCAAACGTGGCACCAGAATTGCTAAGCCCATCCAACTACTAAATAATTAAAAAGACGAATACTCCCATGCCCTCTGAGTCCTTACCTACACCCACATTTTCTTCCTTGGGAGATCCTGAGGACCCCTGCCTAGGGCAGCTCTGAGGAGTTCCACCACCACATCACTTACCCTCAAGAGTGCCCGGCTGGCCAGAACCTCAAAGGCTTGTACCACATTGATGTCATTCTTGGCACTAACTTCAAAGTAAGGCATGTCCTTCTCTTTACACCATCCATGGGCTACCTCCTGGGACACCTGAGGGAGAGAAATGATCACCGTGTCCGTATCGCTGTGGCCACAGCCGCTGCCCTTGTTGCTGCTGTGGTTTCGGTGTGGCCTGTTCCCTCCAGAACCCGGGCTGAAATTGCTTCCCCAGGAGGACGATGCTGAGAAGAAAGGTGAGACCTCGAAGGGAGACTAGGTCATTAAGAAGAACTAACACGGCACCAGGAGGATAGCTCAGTGGGCAAGAGTATTCCATGTTCTAAGTGTGGAGTTCACCTAAGGACCCGAGTTCAAGTCCCTGACACCCCCACAAAAGCTGGGTATGATCATAGATGCCTGAAATCCCAGGGCTGTGGGCCAGAGACAGGTAGATCCTGAGAAGTCACTGGCCAGTCAGCCTCCCAGACATGGCAGACTTCCAGTACCATGAGAGACTCTGTCTCAAGGGAACAAGGACATTCATGACAGAGCAGGACAGCTGATGGCCTCCCTGGCCTCCGCCCATGCATGGGCATATACTCCTTTCTCAACATGCGCGCGCGCGCGCACACACACACACACACACACACACACACACACACACACACACACACACGCACTCATGCCTGCCCCATACACATGCATATACATTTTATGAAGAAAAGATAAAAAGAGATCAGCACCCAAGGGAGTGAGGTCTCTATTTTTTTTTTTGTGGGACTGAGAGCCGTCTGTCAGAAAGTGAGGCCACCCCTCAGCTTTTGACTCTCTCCCCTTTCTCTTCCGTTTCCTGCCACCACCACCCTCCCTCCCAACCATCACCCCAGCCCCCGTGATCACGGCCACCGCCCCTCTTGATGACTGAGAGCCTCTCCTGTGTCTGCAGCTCCATAGTTTATCTTTTCAGTTCCTAACATGACTCTGTGAGGTGGGTGTTGCCAACGCCATTTCACATACAGATGAGCACCTGGAGCAGTGGTTCTCAACCAGTGGGTCCTGACCCCTTCCAGGGGTCACCTACGGCCATCAGAAAACACATACATTTACATCAAAATTCATAAAAGTAGCAAATTATAGTTATGAAGTAGCAACAAAAATACTTTCATGGTTGGGGGTCACCACAACATGAGGAACTGTATTCAAGGGTCGCAGCCTTAGGAAGGTTGAGAGACACTGACCTGGAGAATTATCTTTGCCCGGGATACACAGCCTGGGCAGGATTTGGACATGGACCTGGCAGAATTAGAGCCTGCTTCACTCTCTGGCTTCCTAAGGTCTGGCTAGAAGCTTCCTCCCAACGTTGACTCCCTCTAAAGGAGACAGCCCCAACAGATGCAGGGCAGTCAGGGTGGGAAGCGAGGGTTCCCTCTCTGCCTCCTGCCGACTGAGCAGATCTGTGCCAGGAGGGACTCTTTTCCCTAGGGTAGAGCCCTGGAACAGTGAATAAGGCCCCCACTAGCTATGAGATGGATGCTGTTGGCTTGACTTTAGAGGCAGGAACACTGAGGCTCAGAGAGGTTCGGAAACATACCCCTGATCACACAGCTCAGGGAGGCAGAGCATGGATGCAGATTCCCCTGGCATCTGAATTGCCCCTGGAGGACTCTTTGTAAGAACCTTGATCTTCTTTACTGTTCCCCCCACGAGACTCCAGGTTCTTCCAGTTCAGGCTCAGGACCTTTTTATTCTCAGCCCTATATGTGAGTGAGCTAAGAGAGGACATTGCTTCTAAGTGCAAACAGCTGGATGCAGTTGGGGGCTGCTGGGTATGCCCCACATCCTTCTGAATTACTTGGAGGGGTGACTCATACCAAAGAGTGCGATGTCTCATTAGTTATTTAAAGGGGAAATTACTATATATCTTATATTTGCTGTGCCTGGTACTTTAACATTATTTAAATTTATTTAAGGGGAATCAAGCTCTTTGTCCCAGAGAAAGGACCATTTGTGCCTTTTCCTAGAACACAGGGCAGGCAGGTGAGATGAAAGACCCCCCCACCCCTTATCACACTGTCTCCCCACGCTTGCAGGTTCTGGGGACACCTATCTTCCTGAGATTATGAAGTACCACTGTTGTTCACTGTCTCTCTGGTTCCTGCCCTGCTGGGCTCAGGACTGGCAGGAATGCCCAGTGGCTCACGTCTTCTTTACACAGTGCCTCTATGGACCACCAGCTCTGGCATTGTGGGGTTTGCAACATAAGACTGTGGTCAGCAGAGCAAGAACGTCCAGGTCTCAGTCTTAGCCTCTGATGCCTAAGATTTTCCTGCCTTTGGGAAGAGGGACCCCAGCATTGGTGAGGAATGCTCCCTCCTGTGGGACAGATGAATGGCCAAGATCTGTAAGCCATCAACAGTCCTTCTAGATTGGGGTAAGTCCTAGACTGTTTAGAGGGAGACTTGGGACGTCTGTACTAGTAACATGCAGATAAATGATCACTAGACATTAATACATTATGCCTGAATAGCATCTTGAAGTAGTCATTAGATGTTAACACCTTGTACACTGGTGTCATCCTGTATATTCAAAGTGCTTTGGATCTTTCAAAGACTTACACTTCTTTACGTCCAGCCCTCTCCACCTCCCATCTCCCCAGATGCTGAGTGTTTAACTGCGACTGTTAGCTGGTGCTCAGGAGTTACTATCAACTGGGAAGGGAGTGCAAAGTGACTGTGTCTCTATGGTGTGGTCTGTAGGGGACACTTTTTTTTTTCTTAAAGATTTATGTATGTATGTATTATGTATACAGTGTCCTGCCTGCATGCATGCCTGAAGGCCAGAAGAGGGCACCAGATCTTACTGTAGATGGTTGTGAGCCACCATGTGGTTGCTGAATTGAACTCAGGGCCCCTGGAAGAGCAGCCAGTGCTCTTAACCTCGGAGTGATCTCTCAGGTTCCTGTAGGGCACTGTTTTTACATCAAGGCATAACAAGCAGAAGCCCGCCGCTGCGTCCGAGGCTGATCACCCACCGAGGGAGCTTGGGAGACATGCCGTTGGTTGCAGCTGCAGTGGCAGCTCTGCTGTCCCTTCCCTCGAAGCAGCAGACCGTGATGGAGGCGTCCTCCTGGTAAGACCCACATTCATCTTATCCCCCCGCCCCCTTTCTGATGGGTCTCGAAAATGACTGAGGGCAATCTCCAGAGCATCAGAGACTATGCTACAGCGGCCTCTTTCTGAGTCTCCAGCCCCGTCCCTACAGAGGGCTGGCTGGAGAGAAGCCACGGAACAGCACTTTAAGTCCTCTCTGCCAATTCCAGCCGTGACTTCATGACTTTGAGGATCATCTTGCCTTTTATTTACGAAGTACAATAGTTATTTATAACTTAAGCTCAGAGAACTCTAAAAGCAACTCCAAGACGTGGTACCTGGAGACGACTGTTACTTTCACACGGTTTCCTTTTGCTTACAATGGGCTGTTAACATTTGGTTCTGCTCACTCATTGAGAACCAGTGTTTGACAAAAACTAGGCCAGATTGCAAAAAAAAAAAATTATTCTTTTTTTTTATTTTACAGTGTGTGTGTGTGTGTGTGTGTGTGTGTGTGTGTGTGTGTGTGTGTGTACTTGTGGACATCAGAGACAAGTTGTAGGAGTCAGTTCTCTCCTTCCATCACGTCTCTCCCAGGATTCAAATTCAGGTAGTCAGGCTCTGTGGCCTTTACTGCTGAACCGTCCTATGGGCCCCTATCTGCATAATTTTGGTTTTGATGCGTTCTCCTTGTATAGAGAGAAAATGATTGTTATATAAATTTAAAATTAGTATATCTGGGGGCTGGAGAGGTGGTTCAGCCGTTAAGAACCTTTGCTGCTCTTGGAGAGGACCTGGGTTTGGTTCCCAGCACCCATATGGCAGCTCAGTTACTGACTGTAACTCTGGTTCCAGGGGATCCGATGCTGTTTTCTGGCCTCTGCAGGTACTGCATGTATGTGGTATGCTTACATGCATGTAAGAAAAATACTCATACATAAAATAAGGATAAATAAAACTTTAAAGGAATCAGCATATCTGATACTAGTTAGTAAGCCTCCAAGAATAACCAACAGTACTGTAGGAGACACCATTCCAGTTCCATTGGTGGTAGATCAGAACTCACACTTGGGCGTGGAGTAAGGCATTAAAGTTCCAGAGAATAAATCCCCACAGCTCAGATGTTAGAGGCCCTTTCTCACGAACCAAGATTTTCCACTGTTGACTTCTGTGGAAGGGTTTTTTGTTTTTTGTTTTTTTAAACAAAGATAAGCCAGTAATTTCTTTCAAATTATTCTGGCTATATGTGTGTTTGCATATGTATGTGCATCTTTATTGTAGTAAGATACACACCACATATAATTTAATACTGTAGTCATGTTTAACCATATAATTCAGGGCATTAAGTATATGCCTACTGTTGTGTGACCATCATCATTACTTGAGTCCAGAATTTCCTCCTCCCAAATCTAGCCACGTACTTTTAAACACTTATCTTCCTCTAACTAAGTAGGAAAAACTAAGCCAGGTGGCGGCAGCTCATGCCTTTAATCCCAGCACTTGGAAGGCAGAGGCAGGAGGATCTCTGTGAGTTCGAGGCCAGCCTGGTCTACAGAGTGACTTCCAAGACAGCCGGGGCTACACAGAGAAACCCTCTCTTGAAAAAAAACAACAACAAAAGTAGGAAAAACTACTTTTCCAGACCTGTTCCTGAGGAAGATACAATTACAATGTTTCCATCAACCCTCAAATAATATAGGGAAATCCATCCTCTGGTTTCCATGGCAGAGAAGAGGTTGGGGTGGACCCGGGGCATACAGGGAACATGGCGGACCATCGGTGGGCCACTCAGCCGGGGTGTTGAAAGAGATGGCGCCTACCTCCTTCAGCTTTGTCCCAGGGAGTACAAGCTTCCCTAGATACAGTCACGTGGCTAGTCTTTATTTTCCTCGTCCCAACCAGGGGTTAACAATCTCTTTGCTAAGTCGGCATCGGAGTACGGAGATGTGAGGGCAGGAGCCGCCGCTGCCGCCGCCGCTGCTCCTTAGTTCTTGGCCCTAACAATATGGGGTCTTTGTGGTAAGTCTCTGCACTTTCTCCTCCCACTTCCTCTTCCCTGAACTCATTTCCTTGTTGTGCAGTACCTCTTACCTCCAGTTCCTAGGCCACCTCCCTCCGGACCTTTCTTCTGGGCCACCTTGCTCACAGACGAACTCCCTTCATCTTCCCCAAATCATCCTTTATCCACCCCATCTGGCTGACCCTGGCTTCTCCTGGTGTCTCCGTCTTCGTCTCACCATCTCCATTGAGGGCATTACCCTGTCTTCCTCTCCAAGGATGATGTAGGATTGCCTAGTGTCTCATTGTTTCTTTCTCCCCCTTATTCTTCTCTAATGCAAAGCACATACAGGCGTGGCTTGGCTCAGACTTCTGTCTTAGGAGTCATCAACCCCCTTCACCATCCAGGCGCCCCCCAGTCATTGAACATTCACAATCTGTTTCCTTTCTCCATCAACACAAGGCTGCCACGACTCAAGGGAGCCAGAGTTCCTTCTCCGCTTCTCCATCTTCTTCACAGAATCAGGTCCGAATACAAACCTAGCCTTCCTTTCTGTGGCCACCGCTTTCTCTCTTTTCAACTTCTGCATGCCCATCCCATCCTGCTCCCTAGTATCTGATGCTCCAACTACCCCGCCCCCCTTCCTTCAGGTTTCCCGGGAGCCCTCCCACCCCCACCCTCTGATTCCCTTGCTTGGAAAAGCTGCGTCCCAGGTCCCTGGTTCCTAGCATCTGCTCCAGCAGGGCTGCTGAAACACTCCAGTGATGCTCCTTCAAGCTCAGCCTCCTCCTTCAGCTGAGCGCTTCGTGTTTCATCAATTCTGGTCCTTGTCCTTCCCCCAGCAGCTCATCCTCTCATGTTTGGATTTAATCAGTTATCAGAACCCAGCCCTAAATTGTATTAATTTGGAGTGGATGAAATTTAGAGAGATTCTAAATGGCCCATCTTGACCGTGGTTCTTAAGCTTCCTTTTTGGTTTCCTTCCTCACTGGAGGATGGTACCTCTTACTTCACTGAGAAAACTCTGGCCCCCTTTTCCTGAACTCCCTTAACTTGACCTTCAGATATAGGAAAGGGATGTTAAAATGGATGTTTGGATCTTAGCCTCGTAAGGTGATAGACTTCAGATGTGCAGTGGGATGGCCTTGGGACCACGCGTGTCTCCAAGGGTTTATGACAAAGAATCTCTTAGATGACACTAATATCCACAACATGGACACAAAAGGCTTGCAATGGAGGATTGGCTAGTATAGATAGATAGAAAGCTGTATGGTACATATAATTACACCTGCCTCCCCCAGGAGTCAGAAGAGGGCCTTGAGGTTGGTCGTAACATATGGCCTCTGAAGCCTGGTGGCTGTGACAGACTGGGGTCTGGCACAAACCTGCAGGTTCTAAGGTGAAAGGTCATGAGCTGGAGAGAACACTGGCTCCTGAGAACATGGCCAGAATGCCTGAGTATGCCTAGGCCAGGCGTGGGTTCCACAGAGGGGCAGCAGGGTTGGAGCTACCAAGAGGGTTGATTGAAGCTGAAGGAAGAAAGCAGGAGAGTGCAAGAGACTCCTTTCTTCCGGGCACCATGGAATGTCGCCCAACTAGGGGGTCTGAAGGACCCCAAGGGATGATTCACAGAAGAGGGGCCTTACCACACCCGCCAGGCCGGAGAACTCCAAGCTATACCACAAAAGACCCACAAAACAAGGACTGTCCTGTTCCATGACCACTTCTCAGTCTTCCTGCTTCACCCCAGACAGGATTTGACCCCAGATTTCCCATCTGACCTGAGCAAGTGGGGACTATGGACTTGTAAAGCGGACAGTGACGTCCCCACGGCAGCTAGTCCAGAGCGGGAAGAAAGGGAGACTTGGATTCCCGTCTGAGACAGGATGTTCCACGGACACGCAGTTTCCAACCTGAACTGGCCACACAGAGCGGGAGACTCGTCTCCAGTTCACACTTCTGTCCTGCAGTTTTGTTCTTAGGTATCCCAAAGCTTGCCGGTTCCCTAGCTGCTTCAGGTTGCTCTCCCAGCTTCTCAGATTCTGGATGCCCAAGTCAAACACATCTTCCTCTCTGAATAGGGAGCTTCCTCTCTGCAGGTGAGTGCAGCTGGAAGTACCCTTCTGTCTCCTCCCTTCTCTGGACCACCCTGTACTTCGCAGTACTAAGTTTTGGTTCATTTCTCTTGCGGCTTTCTGTTTGAACCATGGTGAAAACGGAGTTCCATCACAATGACTCAGTTCCCCTTCAACGCTTTTCCATTAGAAATACCGAAAGAATGTGGTTCTAACGGCTCCTTTCGGTGTTATTTGGGCTTCAATTGGCACAACATACCATGTCTTAATTTTTACAAATCAACATAACCTCTATTCCTTCTTTTGGTAGCAAGGAAGGGGTGGGAGAACTTTCCACTCAATAGCCCTGTGATGGCCATTACCACACAGGCGGGGCTGCTGCAGGCATTGGGGTAGACCAGTTGTCTAAAGGCTCATCGACTACCCTGGCTATATATGACTCAGTGGAAAATTATTGATTGCCTAGGAAATTTGTAGATCTGAAAACTGATACCTTCAGATCCCACTGTGATTCTAGGCAGAAATCCTGTTCTAAGACTAAATCAGATTCCTCCAAGACCTGACTTCTGGCTCCTCTCAGGTCCTAAGTCTCCTACTCCTTGTTACTTGTGTCTCAGTTTACATCATCCTGTTTCTTTAGCCTAGAACCCATTTCTTCTAGGAAGCTAGCTCTCTATTTTGGACTTAGGCATCCCTTTGTTCTGATCTCCAAATCTCCAAAGTGTGTAACTATCATTGCTTTTTCACATTGTACCATAATTGTCACTCTTAGATGGTGGAGTCCTTGAAGGGAGGACTCTTTCAGCACTGTATGTGAGGCCTAACACAGCATCTGGTATGCAGTTGTTACATAGTTTGTTAATGAATGAATGAGTGAATGAATGAATGAACTCACAGTACCTTCCTGTCTTCCAGATCGATTTTGTTCCCAAGCACTACCATGGGATACGACTGCTCCATGGGGATGATCTTTGCCAGGACGTCATCCCTCCAGATATCCAGGGCTTCAAAGGACTCTGGATCAGTGACATCGAACGCCAGGATACAGCCATCGGAACCTTTGTAGAACGTTGATACCATGGAGCGGAAGCGCTCTTGACCACCTGTGTCCCAGATCTGGAGGGGAAGAGCAGCGCCCCACAGGCTCTGATGAGTGGCTGAAGGGAAACCCAGCAAGGCTATGTCATGCCAAAAGCTTCATTTCTGGGTGGGGGAAAGCCTTGGTGTAGGTGTGCACGGCCCTTCCCCATCCAGACAGTGCATCCCTCCCACTCACATACACCACCACAGTTCTTAGCTCTCACTCTCTCTCTAGGTTATCAGGGCAGGAGTTGCTATCCCATCCCCTAACAATAGTGTCTTTTGGCTTTGTAAGTCACCCGTCTCTGTTACATTATTCACCTCTGCCATAGTAGGTAAGCAAGTGGGTGTGTCTGGGCCCCAGTGAAGAGACTAGAGTTAGCCCATGAGTTGAACTTTGCTGATATCTCTCCACGTCCTCTGAACTTCTAGTACGTTTTGCTATGTAAGTGGGTGATTTTCAGGTGTGTGTGTGTGTGTGTGTGTGTGTGTGTGTGTGTGTGTGTGTGTGTATTTCAGAGACGGAGGGGAGTGCTCACCTGGAGCTTCAAAGTTGTGTCATCCAGTATGATAATTTTGGAGAGGATGCTGGCCCCCAGGGTGGTCTGGTATTCCTCAAAAAATGTTTTGTGTACATATTGGTGAAGGAGAGAGGTCTTTCCCACACTAAGGGGAAAAAAATCCACATATGGTAAATGCACACCTATAAACACACACACACACACACACACACACACACACACACACACACACAGCTATGCCGTTGTTAGGACATTACCATGCTCTTTGCAATGCAGTCCTTCCTTGAGCCTTTGATAATTTTTAATCAAAGTTGGAGTTTAGGAACAGGCTTTGGTACATGAGTGATTTGAGGTTGGAGGAAAGACAACAGTACACACCCTAGGATGGGCTCAAGGGTCTCAGGAGAGAGTTGCTCAGAATTCTGAATTTCTAGTGTTAATGGTCTAGAGACCACCCTTTGGGGGGCAAACGATTGGGAATAGTTTCTAGGAGCAGGAACCAACCAAAGTGAGCAGTTTTGGATAAGATTGTCCCACAACAGTGCTCAGATTTCTGTTGGGTGTGGCAGGCGGTGGGAGGACCTGAAAGGTTACATAGCCAGTTATCCCACGGCTGGACCCAAGCCAAGAATGTTTTCCCTTCCTCGAAGCAGGATGCACTTTGTGCTGCCACTCTGACTCGGGAAGGGTCCCTTGGAGGTGGGAGCACAGCTTGGAGGCCTTACTGCTCCCAGGCAAAGCTGTTTTCCAGCGAACTCACAGCAGCCGGGCTTGGCTTACCCAAGAGCGCCAACGATGATAAGTTTCAAGTCCACTTTCTTTCGGGGATTCATGAGCAGCTTCAGAGCCTGTGGGCAAACAGAAGTCATTTTCACACTGGTTAGCCTTGCTTGTGGCCATTGTCACTGAGGCTAAGCCTCCCACACCCAGTCACTGCAGGCCTCCCCTCCCACGTGTCCTCCAGGACACCTTCCGAATAGTATTTAGCATGCTGTGACTCCTTTCACATCTGAGCTCTGTTTTCCTCTGGTTTATCAGGATCTCTGTCCTTGGCTAAGGACTCCAGTGAGGCTGTTCTCCTGAAGGACACACATGACTCAGCACCCTGTACACACCCTCCCCTTACTTTGCCTTGCCAAAGTTGCAGATCACTCACCCCTCAGCTCTTCAGAGTCCTGCGCTGGGAGGTAGCCCAGAGTGCCAAACAGCAGAGCAGATCTGAACAGAGACCTCGCGCACACAGCACAGCCTAGAGCCAGGAATGGAGGCCGGTGTGGGAAGAGGGGATGGGGTGGGCAGGACAAGGGGTCCATTGTCAGGACTGCCTGGAGCCTTTGGATGGACGAGAGCCCCTCCCCCAGCCAAAGTGTGCCGTGCTTGCAGAATCACAGGGCTCTTTGCTGAAGCTGGAAAGGGCGAAATCAGTATATGTTTCTGGAAAGCTACTTGGCAGCATGTGTGGGGAGCCTCAAAATAGTCCTGCCCTCTGCTTCTAGGAATTTTTCTTACGGAAGTCACCAGGAACTTGAGCAAAGACTTCTAGCACTGCTTATAAATACCCACAGCGAAGAAGTAGTTAGGCCAGGACACATGAAGGAGTACTTAGTAGTCATCGGAATGGAGTATTTGAAATATTTTATTATATGTGGGAAAATATTCATGCTCTATAATTTGACTGAAAATCATTGCTAAATTATGTGTGCAATATCGGCTAAGTGTCGACTACTATCACAATTGCATTAATTTTTTTTTTCAGTGTTGGGGATTGAATCCAGGGCTTTGTGAATGCTGGGTAAGCACCATATATATGCACAGCTCCCATGAAATACAGAATGTATACATTGCAATATAGTCAAATCCAATTAATACATGCACCACTGAATATCAGCAAATGTACCCCTTTCCTGTGAAGAGAACACATGCACGTCCTGAACTTGACACTGGGAGCATCCAGGATGAAACATGTAGGACCCTACTCCAGGAAACATCAGGGAAGAAGGAACAGGGACCGAGCGACACTAGAAAGTGTTCCCAAGACACAGAAAAGGTATGGTGCTGACAGTATGGCGAGCCTGAAGAAGTGAGGCGTATGGTGTGTAGGGGGTGATATTTCCTAGGAGAGAATGAAGTAAGAAAATTCTGGGGATGGAGAATGGAAAAGGTGATTGATTTGCTTCAGGACAGCAAGACTGAGGTGGACTATCCCATTTCATTCATTCATTCATTCATTCATTCATTCATTCATTCATTCATTCATTCATCCATCCATCTATCCATTCATTCATTCATTCATTCATTCAATCAATCATTATTATTCTTCTAGCTACTTGGCAAAAAGTCCCCATCTCCCAGGGATGTAGAGGCAGGGAACTAATGATACTAACCAGGGTTGGCATACTGCAACAATGTTGCTGCTTACAAAGGTAAGCAGCTAAGAAGTGGCTAAGAAGTCTTGGAAGGGGCGGGTCTCTGAGCATCAGTTATCTCTTCTCAAGGGGCCTGAGAGCAACCGAGTGCTGTTTCCTAACACTGCGGTGCAGTGTGTTAACTTATCTTGAAGGACCAATACAGTATCTTAAAAGGATTTAGAGGCTGGGCGGTGGTGGCGCACGCCTTTAATCCCAGCACTCGGGAGGCAGAGGCAGGCGGATCTCTGTGAATTCGAGGCCAGCCTGGTCTACCAAGTGAGTTCCAGGAGAGGCGCAAAGCTACACAAGAGAAACCCTGTCTCGAAAAACCAAAAAAAAAAAAAAAACAAACATAAAAAAGGACTTAGAGTTTCAAAATGGAGGCAGAAAATGGATGGACAAACTCTAGCAATGGCCGAGCACCGGCAGTGGGTTGTACCACCCTTTGTGCAGCAGGCTAGCCTCACCATAGCCATGAGGTGAGTGCAAACCGGGCCCAGAGAAGGGCCACTCCACTGGGGATATGGCACAGTACTACTACAGTTCTGGCTTAACTTGAACAAGGCTTCCATCCCTAGCATACAAGTGTGGGGCGGGGCGGGAGGGAGGGGGTTGGGAGGGGGGGAGGGTGAGTCTCTCATAACTCACATATCACCACTGGTGGTGGTAACTGGATGAGCTAGTGCTTGAACGGAAGGCCAGGGAAAGCTTTTCGGTGCCGTGGTGCCTTCAGATCTCCAGCTCTGGTGTCTGTGTCCATGAACGTATAGGGCGCTGGGCTCAGACTTGTTGTGCTGGACAAAGCCTTAGGCGCACTGGGAAAAGGCAGCTAGGGGGCTGAAGAGGCTCTGTTAGAGCAAGGGACCTGGGGATGCTGAGCGGGAGCTGTATGTGAGGGACCCACACTTCAGTGGACAGGCGGCATGTGGAGGTGAGGGAACGGGCCACACACATCGCCAGGGTATGCCACACTCTATATGCTGACATTTGCTGGTCAGACGCTGTGCTGAGAGCTTTGAAAATATGCAAACAGATAACAGCCCACGGTGTGGGTTAAATGAATTAGTGTGCTGTTGTGATACATTTACTGGCACAAATTGAGGGTTTTTAAAAAGAGCGTTAAGGTCTTAAAGCACTAGCTGTTTTAGCGCCACTGTTATTATCTCTGTGTCACTAAGAACTAAATGTTTCCAGAAACTAATTTAGGAGTTCCTAACAACACACACTCGGTAGTGGGGGAGCCCGGGTTGGAGCAGAGATTTGGATCCAGGCCCAGCTCTAGAGACTGCCTGTGGTAGTCGGTACTGATCATCAGTTTGGGAGGATCCAGCATCACCTGGGAGATAAACTTCTGGGCACATCTGTGGGTGAATTTCTAGATTGAGTTAACTGAGGTGGGAAAATATGCCCTAAATATAGAGGCACCATTCCACGGTCTAGGATACATGGATATGCATACTGAATACATACATACATACATACATACATACATACATACATACATACATACGCGTATGAACACAGAGAACACAAACTGAGCGCTGACATCCACCTCTCTGCTTCCTGGCTGCAGATGCAGTGTGAGCAGCTGCCCAGGCTCCTGCCACTGTGCCTCCCCATCCATGATGGACTGTTCTCTCAAACTGTGAGTCTAAATATGCCCCGATTTCCTCAAATGCTTTGCCAGGCACTTTATCACAAGTACAATGAGTGCCACTGGGGTACCCATACGCCAGGGAGCCTGCTAGGCAAATACTCTGTCATAGAACCCCACTCTCACACCTTTCTGAGGTGAAGTCTCATGCCATTTTCCAGACTGGCCTCAACCCAGCAATCCCCTGTCTCAGACCCCCAAGTATCTAGGACTGTAAAAGTGCACCACTGTGCCAAGAGACTTTGCCCTTAAGTGGAGATGAATGAGATTAACACAGCTTGGCCCTTAAAGGCTCCATCACAGCACATATTGCTCTACCTGGATGTCCACCAACAACACGCTTTCTTCTTTAAAAATTAAACTAATTAAAAAATTCATATATGTGTACTATATTTGCACCATTTCCTCCTACCCTGCATCCTCCTTCCAACCCTTCCCATGTTTCCAACCCTGTCCCCATTCCCTCTCAAATTAAATTGATGGTCTCTTTTAATGGCAGACTTTCTACACAAATGCCAGTCCATACCGATTCTGAAATATAAGGTCATTTAAAAAAGGATAAAGTGATGATGCGCGAGCACACACACACACACACACACACACACACACACACACACACACACACACACACGATAATTGAAGTAAAAAAGAAGAGGCAATCTGAGTATTTGACAGAGTGAGAGCGACCCAGATTATCAGGAACAAGCACCAGCTCACCGAGTGTGTCTCTGTGTTTAATTCTACACGTGCGTGTCCCGGAAACACACAGATAGAAACATGCCATCTAAGGAGAGACAGAAAAAGGAGGCAGAAGAGACCACGAGTTCTCATTCTATCTCAAGTGACCATATTTTTAAAAATTTATTCTGCAATCTTAGTTTCTGTAACTTAAAAATATCAGAAAAAGACTTAACCTCTTTTTTTTTCTCCCTCAATCCCACCCTGACTTAACCTCTCCTTGCAAAGCATGTGTGACTGGGTGGCTGCCCAGAGTCATCTGAGTGTGATTTCCTATTTGGATGAATCACTGTGACTGGGGTGGAGGTCGGGGGAGGCTGCCTTATACCAGGCAATGACTGTGACTTTTGGGGTCAGAGAACCCTCTCTCTTTCCTAATCTACCCACCTGTGACCTTGAGCCCTGAGTATTACTAACTTTTCTATTCTCTCCTGGATAAAATAGACATGACTTATGGCTGTGGCTTCCTCTGAAGATGGCATGTGTGTGTCATGTTATGATAGCATAACAGTATCCCAAAGTTAGGGAAGATCTAGATAACAGCTTAACACTTTTGTGGGGTGAGGGTTGGTGGAAGAGGTCCTCAGATCCAGTTTGCAGAGGTTGCCATTTTTGATGATGTAAACATGTCCACTATGGCTGCTTTCATACTACAAGTACGGAGCATGCATAGTCCTGGAAGGACCTGGATGTCACTTGATCTAGCACTGGGCAGTGCTAGGCTCCTGGGAAACAGCCAGACATACCCTGAGCGCTTGTTCCTCTCACTGGGGGTAGTTTCTTCACCCACAAAAACGTTCAATTCCTCTGCAAATGCCAGGCGTTGGAAGGGGCAGTGTTGGAGGGGGTTTCGCCTGCCTCCTCTGATCCTTGTAACTTCTCCACCCCTTTCATTGTCCTGATCCCCTTTCCAGATGTGCCTTGGCACTGCTCTGCCACCAAAGACCCCTGTACCCCGATCCCAGAAAAAAAAAAAACGGCGAACATTCTAGAGCCTGACTTCTAAAAATAGCCTGGATCTTTGGTTCAGCTCGAGACCCGGGCTGACCCAGTTGGAGGAGCTGGTTTGGGGGCAGTCAGCACCGGGGGCTCTCTTGACTACTCCGGGTTTCAGATGGTAGCTGAGGTCCCTTTCCCTGTCCTCCACCCCTGGCTGGGTTGTAGCCACAACGTCCTTTTCAGCCTCATTCTAGTCTAGTCGCTGCTGGGGGAGCTTCAAAGAGGGAAGCTGGGGATCTCCCTATCAACAAGGCTGAGTCATCTTCTCTTCTACTGAACAGTGAGTAGCAGGCTTGGAATGCAGGACCAGCCCAGCCAGCCCAGCCCACACAGAGCGGGACTCACTCCAGAGCGGGACTCCAGAGGGACCACCACTTCTCCAGCTCTTCCCAGCCAAAGCCCGGCCCTGCCCATTTGCTACAAAGCAAGGAAGACTGAGTTGCTGGAGAGCACTCGGGCCTGTGACCAGTCCACAAGAACTCTTGAGGGTCTCAACCTTCACCACCGTTCCACGTCCCCTCCCTCCCTCTCCCACTGGCTCCAGGCAGGACCCAGCATAGTCTTCTTGCCTTACTTGTCCTGGGTGGGGTCTCCTGTATGTCAGGGAGACCAGCGAACAGGGGTGGCTGAGAATTCCGCAGCAGGCCCAGTCTCCCTGCCCAGTATACAATCTACCCCAGATTCTGGTCTCCCCCCGCAGTGTTTCCTCTCCCTCTGACACCCCGTACTACAGTCATCCTAAAAACAAAAAATACTGGGACCCACAGGCTGAGTGCGAAGGCTTCTGTTTAGTGAGATTCCCAGGGAACATGAGGCCTTGTTGCCTGCAGGGATCACTTGAGAGTCGGCCTCACCCACCCAAATCCTTGCAGGTCCAAACCTGCTTCCTCCACAAAGTGCACCCACAGCGCTGCTTTCAGAAGGCTGAGCATTGGCCTTTTTTAACTTCTTTGGGGAGGTGTTTGTCCTGTTCCCCAGGTAGACTGCCTGTACCCTAGACTACGCCTCTTATCTCTCTGTATTCCCGCCCCCCAAAATGCATGTTGACTTAAGCTGGGAATGCATTGATGCATCCCTCCGTCCATGCATCTGTCCATCCACACACCCATGTAGTGTACGCCTGCTATTCAGTAGCATACTATATGTCTAAGAATACTCAGAAACTGGTATCTCCATCGGCTCTTTGTAGTAGGGGATTGATTAATAAGCCCAAAGCAATCATTTTTTATCAATACACAATGCCTAGCAATTTTAGAACACTTGCATTTTACAAAACGCTATTATAGCCCAGTGGATTCTGGGGTCAGAAACTAGCTGGGGGGCTGGCAAGATGGCTGAGCAGGTAAAGGCACTTACCACGCAAGCTTGATGACCTGAGTTTTATCTTCAGAACCCATGTAAAGGTGGAAGGAGAGAACCCACTCCACAAAGTCATCCTCTGACTCACCATGTATGCTGTGGTGAACATGCACACCCATCATGCATACAGAACATCACACACACACACACACACACACACACACACACACACACACACACACACAAAACAACCACAACAACCAAGATTAGCAGCCAGCTTAGAGTAGAACCAGGTCTGGCTGTCCAACTCCATTCATTGGCTCATGTATTATGGCTCTTTGCCAGAAGAAAATACAGATTAGAAAAAGAGGGATGTTTTCCTACTTTGGGAGCTTGTCTTTCTCTGATAGCCCCCACATCTACATCCCAGAAGGCACCCTGTCTGTGTGCCAAGGAGATGCCAGATGCTGCAGGATCCAGCTGTCTTGGAAGGCTTCAGTTTCTGGCATTCCCTGCAGGTCTAGGGACGTAGTGCCATCCTCCTGTGACTGAGCTGCTGGGTCCTGTCTGGCACTGCCACAGAACCCCGAGCTGGGCCCCAGCTCCCTGTGACTGGGAGGGAAGTCCTTTCTCCACCACACCCAGGAGCTGCCTGCTGGGCAGGGGTCTTCGGGCTGCATTAAAACCCTGCACCTGCCACATTCTGATCCCCACACCGTTGTTTCTACCCGGGACAGTTCTGGAGCTGCTGGGCACATGGGAGGACAGATAGGCTGCCAGGACACTCACTGCCACGGGCTGCAGGGCACTCACCTCACACAGGTGGAAGTTCTGGGTCTGGGCCTCTCTTCCCCGGAGTGGCAGTTTCAATCTGGCCAGTTTGAGACCGTCAAAGGGTTTGGTAAGAGGCTACTTCCCTCTGAGTTTTCCTTCTTCTCTCTGCTGTGCGCAGACTTGGGAAAGTTGCAAAAGAGGCTGGGCCTGGGTGACCTCAGCTGTGTGGGTGGAGGAGGCGGAGTGGATTGGGAGAGCAGCGAGGCTTCAGAGCTGCCTGGATGTAGGGCACCAGGAATATTTACTTCATAAAGGAGTCTGGTCCCAGGGGATGAGGAATGGCAGGCCTGAGTTGGGAACTTCTGGACAGAGGGCCTGCAAGGTGACATGTCCCATCTATGGGCTTGTAGAAACATCTGCCTCTGTTCATGGGAGTCCCAGGAAAGAAGCCCTTTACTGTTTTCCATACACTCATGGAGCAGATTTGGTCAAGCCACCAGGGCACCAGTAAGGTTGGAAGGAGTTCTGATCTTAAGCCTTGCCCTCACCCTGCACACCCCTCACACACTGGCACACACACAGAGGATATACACATACATCCCTGCCACGCGACACATACATAACACACATATATTTTGTATACATACCCCACATCCCTTGTGCCACATTCCTTATATACACACTACATGTGCCCCTTTCCTCACAACTCACACTCTGTACCACCCACACCCCCCACTCACTCACATAAAATAAACTCACCACCCACACCCACACCACATCAGGCTTGTAAGAGGTAAGGCATGTCCTGGCACGCCAACCCCCCACCCCCACCCCCTCTGGTTAGGTTGTGTGGCCCAACCTGGGGCAACGGTAAATTAAAACGCTGTTGGCACACAGTTAACCTTGGCATCTCATCGCACTGTCATGGACCATGCCTTGGGTAAGCACAGCTGGTAGATGAAAGGCAGATGGAGGGAGCTTAGACATGACTCCCCAGATCTCAAGGGGTCCCCTTAAGGTGTGTTTGATGGACTCCACATTCCTCACGACTTAGTCCTTGGTGTGATGACTGTCCTGTGGGAACGGTCTTCCTGGTTCCAGTAGCCCCCTCTGATGGGGCTTTCCAGCGCCATGTGTCTAAACCAGCTGTAGAACCTTGCGTTTGGAAAGCAGAGCAGGTAGCCTTGGGTCCCACGCTTGGCCAGTGTACTGCCGGGATGGGTCTTATTAAAGAGCTTTCGGTGGAACAGAAACTAAAGCTTATTTTCTTGTGTCAACCAGCAAGCAGTCTTGGAAGAAGGGACTGAATGATTTCCACACTGAATTCTCTACAGGAAAGGTGCGGGATATTCTAAAGCCTGTTTGCACCAGTGAGGTATTCTGGTTGCTCAGGAGTGGTTGCCAAGGCGGTGTGGTGATAATTGATGATTTATGGAGGCTGCTGAGCTCTTGGACTGGTATCCTTTAGACGCTCCCAGAGTCTATACCACCCTGAAGGCGTCTGATCTCATAAGCAATGCAGAGTTGGGCCTCGTAAGAACTTAGATGGGAAAAGCTCCCCCATATTGTTCTCCTTTTTCCCCCTCTGAGACTAGCTTTAAATGAAACTTTGCCTGTGTAGTTGTGTGAATGTGTGTTGTGTGACGATCACTGACGAGACGTGAACAAATGTCACTCAGGGAACCAAGTAAGGACACCACCCAAGTCCGGCTTGGTGACCCATTGAGTTGTACTGGGGCTGCATACAGGAGTATGGGGGAGGGGTTACAGGAGCAGAAATGACTCAAAGACAGCGGCATCACCAAAGCCCTCCCAGCATGGGTGACAGCTCACAAGAGCCGGGAATCTGGAGCCCACTGCACAATGTGTAAACAGCTCAGCAGATTGGAGGGTGACTCTTCAAGGCAGCTCAGGCAGCCTCACCTCATGGAGGCAGCTGGGCTAGTCTCTGCCTCTGCTAAGCACGCCTTACTACTTATTTATGCTTGGAGAGGCAGGGGTCAGATACACCCGGTCAGTTTCAGGAACTTCCTGAGGTCTCTCAGTTGTTTACTTCCTGAGCTCAAAGGAAGCATTCCTGAAGAATGGAATGTCTCGATTCCTTGGATCCCTCGAAGATGGAAAGTTTTATCTCAGAGGAAATGAGTACGCACAAAAACGAGATGATGCTGGGGCACATACATACTGTAGAGATGCGGTGGCACATGGACGAGCAGATGTCACAAGGTCTGTTGACGCGGAGGACCCTTTGGGTTATGGGAAGTGCCCTGTCTGCAGCTGGATTTTACTGCTTCTGACCAGGATGCTGAAATTCGTTCTCCTTGGCGCTGTTTGCAGAACTGTTTCCAGCGTCTTTTGGAAACTGAGACACCAGCTATCAGGCTCCAGCCCCCACTTCCTCCATCCACGTGAATCAGAAGTCAGTAGCTTCCCTTTCCGGCTTCCGTCATGCTGCACTAGAGACGGCTGCTCCGTTTGCACCCCGCCACACCCACTGCATTCACTCAGTAGTCCCAGTAGGTCAGACTCTTCGGGAGGGGGCAGGCACAGATGGATCCAGGAGCTTAACAGTGGAAAAAAGTGACAGGGACTAAGTAAAGGCATAAGGGAATTCAGAGAGGAAGTACCTAGTACTAGACAGTAGTACTAGATAAGGTGTTCCGAAGGGGCAGAAGAAGGAACTTGATCTGGAGTTGGAAGGACTGGCAGGATGTGCATGTGTTGGGAGGAGGCATGCGGACTCAGTGAAAGGGAAGTGACCTGGGAGTAGGCAGAGGAGATGCTGGCCCTCTGGGTGACGGAAGAGAGCTGGCACCTGAAAGGCACCCTGTTCAGGCCAACGCCTTGGCTAAGCATTCTCTGTGCTGGAGAGTTCCATCTAGGTTTTGCTTGTTTGTTTGGAGATGGGTGAGGGGTGGTGGTAATGGCGTGTTACTATGGACCCACGGTGGCTTTGAACCTCCTGCCTCTCTACCTTATGAGTCCTGGGGTTGTCGATGTGGGACATCTCTTCCCCTGTGGTCCATCAAGAAGAGGCCACTCTGTGGAGTGACCTACTCCTCTGATGGAGAGGGTAGGACTCCCGAGAACAGAATGTGGCAGTGAGGACGAGGGGGGAGGGAGTCAACAGGTTCTGGTGACTTATATGCATGGTGGAGGGGGTTAAACAGGAGCAGGTCCTGGACAGTCGTGAAAATCCTTCCAGCTCCGGTGTCTTTTGGCTCACAGGAGGGACCGCAGGGAAGTGGGAACCAGGGGAGGGTGGGATTCTGGTGACTTTCAGAAATATTCATCGGTTAGGAGGTGCTGGTGTGACGTGGGCATAGGGAGGTGGTGTGATGTGGGCACAGGGAGGTGGTGTGATGTGGGCACAGGGAGGTGGTGTGATGATGTGGGCACAGGGAGGTGGTGTGATGTGGGCACAGGGAGGT